AGGAGGGAGAATTTCAGGCCAGGCCGTGGGTCTGCCTGCAGCCCCTCCAACTGGGCTGAGAGCCCTCCCGCCTGTCCAGTCCCCGGAGCATTGCCCTGGCTCTGGCTCACACCTTTCCTGCTCTGGTTCAGGGACTGCTCAGAGCCCAGCGGGGCTCCTGGAGGTGAGCCGGAGGCTGGGTTGGGCCGAGGCCGACCACCCAGCCTTCCGTGAAGCCCCCAGGCGGCTTGGCTGGCTCTGAGGAAGGATATGGGGCTGGGGGCCAATCCACGCCTCTCTCTGTTCCTAATCCAAAAAGGACCAGAGTAAAAGGGTGAGGGGTAACTGCAGGGGAACTACCAGAGTTCCTGGCGGGGGTGACTGTTCTGTGCCTCAGTTTCCCCACCAGCAAATCACTCTCTGGCTGTGGACGCCGGAGCTGACTTGTATCCATAGAACTGGGGGCTCCGCTGGGTTCTGAGCCCTGGATGTCAAGCCAGACAGGGGGTTGGGGGGCAAAGCTCCACCACCCCCCTACTTCCAGAACCCTGAAGTGATGACTAATCTGGCTTCAGGCTTTGAGGTGGTGACTCTGGGCTGACGCTCCCCACCAGAACCCAGTCAGAAGACCCCCATCTGCCCCTCTGTAGGGAGGACCCTGTGGGCACAGATGTCTGGTGCCCCAAGGCACTCGGGGCTCAGGCCCCCTTCCAGAGCAGCCCTTTTGGGGGTGTTCAGGTGGGCTGGTGTTGCTCTGGGGGTCTTGCCCGGGACAAGGGAAAGGTTTTCACTCAGAAGTGAAAACTGGAAGCATTGCAGGGAAAGCAGGATGGATTTCCTGGTCCCCCAGCAGTCAGCACCCCCACAACAGCAAACCCCGCCCTGACTTGTGTGTCCTCTGGTAACACAGGCCCTGACATTGGCCCCTTCCCTCACTTCACAGGGACCCCATGGTGCACCCCACCCGGCCACATGGCCTCCTCGCAGGGGGAGGGGGTGGGGTGGTGGTGCACCAGTCTCCGTCCAGCCTCCGGGCCTTCACCAAGGAGGGATGTCATTGGTATTGTTGGCTGATGTGACCCCAGGCCCGAGACAATGCCTGGCACACATAGGTTCTCAGTAAATACTTGTGCCTTCCAAGTCTTGACTTGAGCTTTGGTTTATGGACGGTTTCTTTCCCCGCGGCCCCCCTGCCCGGCCATCATCTAATGGGGGTGTCGTGAATGGGACCTTGCCCAGCGCTCGCACCCAGGAAGCAGGGCTGGGCCACAGATTTACAGAGCCCCACTATGTCCCTCGGCTGCTTGTTGACCCAAGGGTGTAACAGCCAGGATATGTCCCAGCCCTCAGGGAGATATACGGTCCATGAGACAATGCATGTGACGATGACATGGGATCTAGAAGCTGCTAAGTGCTGTGGGCAAAACTGGCAGTAGGTAGAGGGTGTGTAGGGAGTGCTGGCCGGGTGGGATGTCACTTCTGTGAGGTGTCAGAGAGGCCTCAATGAAGAAGTGACATTTGAGCTGAGAACTGGAGGTGAGGGGGTAGCTGTGGGGCTGTCTGGGGAAGAGTGTTCCAGGCAGAGAGCACAGGCAATACAAAGGCCCTGGGGGCAGCACTGGCCTGGTGTGTTGAAGGAACAGCAAGCAGAGCGAGCGAGGGGTAGAGAGGGAGGGGGAGCTAGGGAGGAGACAGGCAGGTCATGCAGGGCCTGTGGGCCTCAGGGAGGACTTGGACTTTTACTCTGAAGAAGGTGGGAGCCCTGGAGGGCTGTGGGCGGAGGGCAGGACCCGACCCAGATGCTCACGGGTACCCTCTGGTGGCTGCATCAGGGAAGACAGATTGCAGGGTGGGAGTGGCAGATCAGGGGAGGAGACTGTGTTGTGGCAACCGGGAGATGATGGGGGCTGGCCCCTGCTTGGGGCCGCGGAGGGACGCAGAAGTGGGCAGATCCAGGACAGGGTCTAAAGTCAGGCGGATTCACAAAGGGGTTAGAGGGAGGACACGCCCTTCTCCACAGACTGGTGTGTCCCACCCTGACCCACATGCAAGGTGGTTTTTCATTTTTATTTTATTTTTAAAGTAGGCTCCATGCCCAGCATGGAGCCCAACGTGGGGCCCGAACTCACAAGACCTGAGCCAAGATCAACAGTCGGTGCTTAACCGACTGAGGCACCCAGGCACTCCTGCCATGTAACTTTTTAAAGGAATCCGTGGGGGTGTCGCTTTTGAGATCACTTGGCCTTGTCCCACTGGATTCCAATCGAGACCGCCTGGGAAGCCTTTCAGATAGGTTGTTGCCCCGCGATCGCTAATGACCACCAAAGAACTAAGGCCGCGAGCCTGCTGCGAGCCAGGCCCTATGAAGCCGCCTGGCTAGGCCTCAGTTTCCCCATCTGTAAAACAGGACCAGCAAGAGCAGCTCCCTCCTAGGGCTGTTGCAAGGATTGGATGAGCTAACAGTAACAACTGAGCCTTCCTGGCCGTGGGGAGAGGTTCTCCTAGCTCTTCTTCTTGGTCGGATTTAGCCCGCTCACATTTTCTTGGCTTTACAGAGAGCTCGAGACCCCGCAGCAGAGCCTGGAGGCTTGTCAGTCCTTGCAGACTTGTCCCCACCGGGCAGGGTGTCTCCAGGGATGGGGGCCTCGGGGTGTGTGTGCCCTGCTGCCCCAGAGGTCGGCCCCGGGAGGAACAGCAGGCCCTTTCTCACTCACCGGCCCTGCTCTGTCCCCCACATCAGGCCTTTGATCTGTCTTCTGCCCAGGACGCCTTTCCCCCTCAGGCACATCTAGCAAGACCTCATCCTCGGATCTTCAGACTCGCTTCCCTACCGCACTTTGTCCTCCCCCAGGAAGCCCTCCTGCTCTCCCCAGTCCCTTGCCCTGGGGAGGCCCTTTCTGAGTTCCTCCTTTTGTTCCAGACCAGACTGCTTGGGGCTGGAAATGGCTTCATCAAGCTCAGGATGGGGAAAGGGGGACCACTGTACTCTGGAGAGGTCCTTCACTACCCCAAGCAGGGGCCGCTGGGGCAGGAAGTGGGGTCCCAGGCAAAGTGTGTGTGTGGGGACTGGATACTATAAACAAGGCCGGCCCCCCCGGGGTCTCTGCATGGGGCAGTATGATGTCAGTCCCTCACAGCCTCATAAATGTTTATGGGCAAGGGGTTCTGGACTTGGGGGGTCCCTGGAGCCCAGCAGGCAGCCACTCCTTCCTGCCCCATTCCGGGGGGCCTGCTCCAACACTGGCGGCCAGCCAGCCCAGAGAGGGCTGAATAGGTGTCCAGCACAGCCCTGGTCTGAGCCAGCTAAAGGGGAAACTGAGGCTAGGAGGCAGGAAGGGACTGGCTGGCTGTGAACTTTTGCTTTTCCTCGGGGGCTTGGGCTTCACAAAGAGCCAGGGGTGGGGGGTGGTGGTGGCCATCAGTTAAGTGCCTGACTCTTCGTTTCGACTTGTGATCTCAGGGTCATGTGATCGAGCCCCACGTTGGGCTCCGTGGTCAGTGTGGAGTCCGCTTGAGATTCTCTCTCTTCTTCTCCCAGTCATGCTCATTCTCGCTTTCTAAAATAAAATAAATCTTTAAAAAAAAAAAAAAAAGAGCCAGGGGACTGAGGAAGGGTGTGTGGGGGGGCCTGGGTAGATCCGGCTGAGAAGTGACCGACTGCTGAGCCTTGACCGGGTCCCCCTTTCAGCCCTCGGTGACCAGAGGCCCTACCTGCAGCACCAGGTCCGCGAGAACGACTCTTACTGTCGCCCCCGTCCTGCCGGCTGTGGCGGGCAGGATGAGTGAGGAAGGGAAGGGAGAGGACAGTGGCCTGGAGAGGGGCAGGGGTACAAACTGACTCCTTCACCCCACAGGGCTGGGGGTCAGGGGGCCAAGCATCGGTGGGCTCTGCCCTCTGCCGGCTGCAGCAGGGACACACCAGCCTGTGCAGGAGCCTAAGGGCCTGTTCCCCCTCAGAGAGCACAGAAGGGGGGGCTTCCCTCTTCCTGGAACATTGCTGAGGGAGGGACCCTGTTGTCCCCACTGGCCACTGAGAACAAAACCAGTAAAGAACCAAGAGCTGGGACTCTGGTGCAGGTCTGGGACCCGAGCGCTCTCAGGGCTCGGCAGGTCCACGTCTCCTCCCAGCCTTTCTCCGGCCTGGCCGCGACCCCAGGCTGGAGCCGGTGCCCCCTGTGGCGGGAGACCCGGAGTGGCTATGGGGTAGTGAGCTGGTGAGGCCAGCCCGGCTGCAGCTAGCAGGGCCTGGGCTCCGCACATGCTAGATCCGAGCTGCCCAACATCTGGCCAAATGACAGCCCAGGGTGGACAGAGAGCAAGGCTCCAAGTCCAGCTTCCAACCATGTCGGCACCTGGGTGGGCGGTGGGGGGGAAAGGGGGAGGGATGGGGCGAGAAGGGGGCCTCAGGGCCCGGCTCCTGCTGCCTCCAAGCCACTTGCAGTGTCCGACCCCGCTCCCCAGGGTAAAGCCCAGAGAGCCCTAATTCATGGCCCACCTCGACATGCTGCAGCAAGCCTTCCTTTCTGGCTGCCAGAGCCCGTTCCGCAGCACGCTAGGGGCCAGGGCCGGTATTCCCAGGCTGCCTAAATCACTGGGCCTGACAGGCGGCGGCCAGCGAGGACCAGGATTCTTCTCTGGTGCCCACCACAGGCCCCTGCTTTGCAGGATCCTGGTAGCCTGTCAGCCACCTGTCACCTGGGGACAAGGCTCCTGGGCCAGCCCGTCGGGAGTGCTCTGCTCCAATGCCCAAGAATTTGGAGTCAGGCCGTGCGTGGGCCCTGGGTGTGTTTTCCACATGCCATTGGCTTTGGGTGGGTGGGTGGGGGGCAGAGAGGGGATGGCCTGTGACCTGCAGGGGGCGCTGCAGGAAGGACTGGGGGGGGGCGCAGCGGTTCCCGGCTCCGGTCTTCAGGGCCAAGCTGGTGCCCACTGGGCTGCTGCTGGTGCGTCACTGTCACCCAGCCCACCGGGTACGGGGCTTCATCCCAGAGAAGAGGAGAGGAGGGGAGGGAGACGCACACAAAGAATACACACAGAATTTATTTTCAGTCGCATCTGAGCCTGCCCGCGGACCGGGGGGCGGGGGGCTACACCTTGGGCGCCACAAACACCTTCCAGCCCTCCTGCTGGCCCATCTTGAGCAGCGCGGCTGTCATGCCCATGTACGCGCAGGCGGCGGCTCCGATCCCGTAGCTGTGAGCTGCCCGGAGTTGGGAGGGCGGTGTCAGGCGGCCGTGTGGCTTCCCCGCCACCTCCCCCGGAGCCCAAGAACACGGCCTTCCCGTGAGGCTTAGGGGCTCGGGGCTGTGGGCCCCGAGGATTAAGTCAGGGGCCCCTCTGGGTGAAGATGTATGTGGAAACCCGGGAACCGAGGCTGTCAGTCCGGGTCCGGGGAGGGGGACCCCGCGCTCGGTGGAGCCTCGGCCGGTGCGCTGGCCGCAGGCGCCAGGCCCTGTATTTGCTCTGTGGACCGTGAAGGCGAGAGCGCAGAACGGCCCTGCTTGCCCGAGGGCTGTCGCTGGGCAGGGAGGCGGGCCTGCCGTGTGCAGGGCTCACCCCCTTGGCGGGCTGGGGGTATGTGTCAAACCCTAGGATGCATGGGCCTCCACCTCCCTCCACCGTGCCCTCCCTCTGCCTGACTGGAACCTTCCACCAAGCACTGGCAGACTGGTGGGCCAGGACAGTTGCCAGCCCGGAGGCTGTGGGAGGTGGAAAAAGCAGTGACTGCTCCCGGTTCCAGGTGGCTGCACTGTGCCAGGCTGGTGTGGGGCCCCCGCCCTGCCTCCCACTAGGGAGGCATGCTCTGCTGGTTCCCAGGTGACCTTGCACCACCCAAGCCCCCTCTCTGAGCTAGTCTGTGCATCTCCAGGTGGGGATGGTGAGTGTAGCTCCCCTGCAGGGCTGTGTTTGGTCAATCAGGGCTCTGGGTGCTGGGAGAGGGACGGCAATGCAAGGACCATGCACCTTCTCCATGCTCATGGGGCAGGGGCAGAGACAGACAGTGGCCTTGTGTTCTCTGACAAGGTGCAGCAAAGGAGGGCGATAAGGAATGAGGGCAGTGGGGGTCCCAGATCATCCACAGGGGGGTTTGGACAGTGAAAGAGGGAGCTGTGCTGACATCTGGGTGAATAGCACTCCAGTAAGTGGGCACAGCACATGCACAGGCCCTGGGGCAGGACTGGGCCTGGCTTGGAGGAACAGCAAGGCGGCTTGTGTAGCTCATACAGAGTGAGCAAGGGGGAGAGAGGGAGGAAGGGAGGGTAGAGGGGATGGGGCAGGTTGTGCAGAGCTTTGTGGGCCAGGCTGAATGCCACAGTGAGTCACAGGGGGGTATATGGGCTTGGTGAGGTAGACATGCAGTAGGTGCTTAAGCAAAGCAGCTCTTAGTATTACTGAACTGGCTGGTGGCAGAGATTCAAAAGTACTGGAAGGTTTCACGGGGACTGCCCCCTCCTCTGCTGGGGTGAGCATCCCACACACCTGGCCCCTTCCTGGCCCCTGGTCTGGGATAGAATGGGGGGTTGTGGTCAGCGGAGGTCAGAATGGGGGGGCTCACTTACTGCGTGCTCCCAGGGTCAGGCCTCCGGCACAGCCTCCAATGAAGTAGTTCAGGGGGTCATCGGGCTTCTCTCGGACCTGAGCGCTGAGGCAGGACGTGAGGCCAAATATGGCACCGATGGCGGCTGTTGGGGTGCAGGTGGGTGGGTGAGCGTTGAGTCAGGGCCCAGGGCCAGTGCCAGGAGGGCCCCTAAGGAGAAGCCAAGGCTCGCTCACCTGCAGTAAATGTGTATCGCCCTGTCCTCGCCACTCCCTCTAGGAAGGAGTCTGGGGGCTGGAGCGTGACACTGTAGGCAGAGAAGATCAGGCCTGTGGGACCAGAGAGGGTGAGGTGAGTTGGACCAGGAACTGGGCGCTGAGACCAGGAGGGGCCCTGGCTGGGGGCAGGTCCCTCCACTATCAGAGAAACCCTCTCTCCCTCTGTCCCCATGGCACCCAGAAGGAGGCTCCTGGCACCACCCCTTTGCCCAGGAAGGGACTGTTCTGAGGTTTACCCAGGGCCCCACAGCTGCTGAGCAGCCACAGTGGGATTCCAACCCAGTCTACTGCTCCAAACCCTGGGCTCTCACCCCTACCTCCGGGCCCCAGGCCTCCCTCCGCAAGGCCTGACCAAGGCCTGCCTGGGGCCCCTTCGCCCTCCAGAGTGCACTGGTCCAGCTTGGAGTTGACAGGGCCCAAGTGGCTGGGCTGCTCTCTGGCCTCATGTACCAGCACAGACAGCATGGCTGAGCCCCACAGGGCTTGGCACCCAGGCCCTGCTCCCTACTCCCAGCCAAGGCTGCATTCTCCCATGGGGCCCAGGGCTCCTTGGTGGAGACTTGGCTCCCGGGGCTGCCAAGGCCTGCTGTTCCTCACCCTTGGGCCCCCTTCCTGCTGGCAGCTTGGGCCTGGGCCCATCCCTCGCACCTGGCTGGCTCAGCAGCCGCTCCCGCCCACCCGGCCTTGCCACTCCGGTCAGCTTTTCCATCTCTGCTCGCCCTGGCCTCCCTGCCCGACACTGGCTCTTGCGCATGAGGGGCCCGGCAGGGGCTGGGCCTGGACCCGAGTGCCAGGTGGGTGGTAAGGCCCGAGGCTCTGTCCTGGGGCATCTTGAGCAAACACTGCCCGGGCTGCTGTGTGGGTCTGGGGTGAGGCCAAGGCAAGGCCTTGGGCAACTGCCCCGACCAGACCCTCCTCAGTGGGGGCGGGGGGGGGGGCAGACCAGGGCCCACCTGGCTGGCTCTGAATCACCAGGAAGAGCCTAACACGGAGCTCCCCATCCTCCAGCTGACCCTGCTCAGGGCAGACAACACACCCCTCCTCTCCCTACAGAACCCCCGCATAGCCCAGTCACCACAGGGACCTCCCAGGGCCAGCCCGTCCCAACCTGTCTGCCAGCTCACATTCCACGCTGCACACAGACCGTGCCCCCGCCATCCTAATCCCCTCAGAAATCCTAGAACTGGGAGTGGATGAACTGTCTCCGAGCAATCATCCAATATGGTGACGTGCCATAGCCCACCCTCCCCACACCCGGTGACCCCCAGCACATGAGGGTCTCTACTGACTCGGACCTTTCCATGGCCCCCCATCACCCTGCAAAAGGCCCCCTTTCCAACTCCCACCTGCTCCTGGCTCTTTCTCAGCCTCCAGCAGTGACCTCCAGACACAGTGCACACTCGACCCTTTATTCATTCATTCCTTCCTTCACAGTGACTGCAGGTTGTCATTCCTTTTCACAGTCACTGTGTGCCCACATTCATTCATTCATTCTTCCATCCATCCAGCTACTTCATTCATTCACACATTCATTCAGTCACTATATGCCCTAATTCACTCATCCAGCCACCCATCCACAAGAGTTACTGGGTGCCTTCATTCATTCATTCATTCATTCATTCATTCAGGGTTACTGTGTGCCCACAGGGCGCTGATGCTAGAGGGTACAGTCTCTCTGCCCTCCGGGGGCTCACCGTCTCAGGAAAGCCAGACAGGAAACAAGAGTGTTCTCTCAGTGAGGCCTGAGGGGAGGCAGGGAAGGTAAGAGAGGATCCAGGAGCCAAGTCCTGCATGTTGAGTGGAGCTGGCCAGTGAGAGAGAATGCAGGTGGGCGAAGTAAGCAAACACACACACACACACACACACACAGTGATACCCTCGAAGGCTCACAGGAGCTGGTGACCACCATAAATCCGAGTCTCTCAGCGACTGCCTGACATGGCACCTCTGTCAAAGTTCCCACCCACACTCCCTCAAAGACCTTCCAGCAAGCCCCTGCCCCCACCCTGGAGGCTCCTCATTCTCAGCAGCACCCCACTCCTGAAATGTACTCAGTCTCCCCCAACAGCCTCCTGAGATGTCAGTCCACCCCCATGGACTGTGCATTTGTGATCACACATGTGCACTCCCACTCAGAAACACCAACATTAATGTCTTTCTCAGATTCAAAATCCCTTAAACCATCCAATTCCCGTTATCTCCCTGAAGGCCCCACGTGCCCCTCAGGCGACCCCCTCCTCCTACTTTAATTCCCCTTTAGACACAACCATGAGCCTCCACAAAGTCCTGCCAGGCATTCCCCAACGTCAGCATTTCCCTATAAGAATGTGCCCGAATAAGTTCCCCCTACAGTGATCCAACCCCGCACTGCGCAACCCTCTCCAAAGGCGCCCTAGAGACCCTGCCACGCACCTCTACTGTCCCAACAACTCGCCACTCAAGCAGACTCTACATAACTCATCCGCAGGGACTCCCCATCCACCCTCTCTCCTGAGGCCCCTCCACAAGGATCCTGCACGCACAGTCCTTGCCCCAGCCTCCCTCAAGAGCAGTTCAGCAGACGTGGATTTGCATACCGGCTCGAAAAGACCCTGGGATAGTTAACACACCTCTCCGACCTTCAGTTTCCACCTCTGAGGAATGGGCACGATAATTGCTGATCTCAGAAAATGGAGTGATGATGAGGTCTACCTTAATCCAAATGCGTCCCAGTGGAGACTCAACTTCTGCCAGGCCTCGTTTCAGGAGCTGGAGATATGGAGGTGGCCCAGACCACCATTCCTACTTCTCAAGAGAGACTGGAAGGGGCGAGATGCTGAGGTGCCCCGTGCAGAAGAGTGTTAGGGCCGTAGTCCCCTTATGCCCTCCCAAGGCTACCCTTACAGTAGGCCCTGACCCACCTCACTTGTGACCTCCTCAGCACCCCTACGGCCCCTCTGGTGGTCCCAATAAAAGCTTCGGATATCCCTAACCATCCCGCTCTCCTGAATCCTAAAAAGACTTCCTCTCACACTGGAACATTCTCAAACTTCTGTACCCCCGAGACACACCCATGATCCCCCCGAAATAACCCTAACTTACCCCGTTGTTAAGCCTCATGAATCCCCAGCTCCTTTGAGCCCCAATAAAGGCCCCCTGCCACTCAACGACGTCCCCAGAGCCTGGTGATAGCTTCAACGGTAACCCCCAAATCCCAGCCCCCAGCAACCGCTTCTGACGACCCCCGTGGCCAACCTGTCACACGAACCACTTCCCGGTGCCCTCCAACCCTGCCGGACCCCCTTCACACAAGAGTTCCTCAAGGCCTCCTCAGACACCCCCACGACGACGTGTCACCCCGTGAGATACCCAGCGCTCCTGCGACCCCCTCGGAAAGCTCCCAGTGACCCTGTCGCCTTCAAGCGCCCTCTGAATTAGTCCGACACCCCCACAAAGTCTATCTCGTACAAGAGCTCCCCAGCGACCCAGGGCCGCCCCAGCCATCCCGGCGACAACCTTACGGCACCTGCGAGATTCCCCAGCGCCCCAGGACGCCCTGGGACAGCCCCCAGCGACTCTATGACCTCCCTGCACCCTCTGCCCTCGGCGACCGGCCGAGATGCTCACCAGCGGCACCACTGACTGTGGTGCTGGCGTAGGTCTTGCGGTGGCACTCGGTGCCATCGGGGATGTCCAGGTATTGCTGAAGAGGCGTCCGCGCCATGATTGCACAACCCTGGCCCCGCACAGTACAGCCCGCCGGCTCCCCGTGTCCAAGGGCAGCGGCCCCTCCTTCTCGCGAGACTTCCTGGGCGGCGCGCGCAACCTCTCCCGCGGAGGGGCCGACAACAAGCGTGCAACTTTATTGAACACCGCGGACACAGACACGGTCGCGCGCACGCGCCGAGTCGGGACTGGCGTAAAGGAAGCGGGCGTGCACCCCCCAGCCGCCTTCAAGAACGAGAAACTGAGGTAAGCCAGAATCAGTGAAGGCAGATCTCACTAGTTCCAACTCAGAAGGTCCTAGGTTAGGAAAGGTTGACACCCGGAGGTGGGGCTTAATCCAGGGGCGGGACTATGACCGGTTCTAGGCCTATCTCCAAATGCAGATTCGGGCGCGGGGCGGGGCTCCACTTGATAGGAGCAAGATGTAACTCTGGGGCGGGGCACAGCGCAAATGTGACCACTCTCAGCGCCAGAATCTGCGTGAGTATGGGGGTCTGAACCGCGTGCGACTATTTTGGGGCGTGGCCAGGTTCCAGGGCGGGAAAAGGTACCGATCCCAGGGCTAGGATTTTACAGGGACGCCACTCGTGCTCACCTTGTGACCGGCTTGTCCAAGCCCTGGAACTGAGGTGGTCCGCGCTAGACGGGGGGGCGTGGCCATAACGAAGACACGCCCCCAAAGGGACTTGGCCGAACCGGAGCTGTACGTTTGCTTAAGGGGCGTGTCCGTGGCCTTCCGGGTGGATCTGAGAGAGGCGAAGCCTGGGGCGTGGCCAGGCTTGCTGGGCCGCAGGACCCGGACTAATGCTTCTGGTGTTGGTTTCTCAGTGGGGCGGGGCCTGTCTCGAAGGGGTGACCAGTCCCGTTGCGGGAGCCTGAACAGGGAGCGCCATCGAGGACTCAGGCCCACCTGGAGGCGTGGCTTGTCAGAACCTTGGCCAATCTTAGAGTTAGGCCGGGCTCAGGGGCGGAGTCTTGAGGTGCCGGGACCAGTGAGGGTGTTTGGGTTTGAGGAGGGCGCGACCCATCCTGCCGCAGCCAATCGCGCGGAGGTTCTGAGTGAAGGGGGGGCTTTGAGGGCGGGGCCCATCGGGGGCGGGGCCCAAGGGCGTGGCCGGGGCCGGTTCCGGGCCGCCGGGGACCGGGTCGGGGCCATGTCGGCGCCGCAGCCGCTGCAGATCCGCGAGGCGAACGCACACCTGGCGGCTGTGCACCGCCGCGCCGCGGAGCTGGAGGCGCGGCTGGACGCGGCGGAGCGCACAGTGCGCGCCCAGGCCGAGCGCCTGGCCCGCCACGACCAGCAGCTGCGCGCTGCCCTGGACGAGCTGGGCCGCGCCAAGGACTGGTGAGGCCCGGGGCCGGCCGGGTGGACTTCTGGGAGGTGGGCGGAGGCGGAGCGGAGATGGGAAGGGGAGGAGAGGCGCGGGAACCGCATGCAGTCACGTGTAGGCTGCACCCCTGGTGGGGTTGAAAAAAACGAACACCCCAAACCTCGAATTAGTCACCAGCATGCAAAGTTAAGAGGTGTCACACAAGTGCGGATTTCTAACTTAAAACAGAGCCCATTTTTTAAAAAAGATTTTATTTATTTGAGAGAGAATGAGATAGCATGAGAGGGGGGAGGGTCAGAGGGAGAAGCAGACTCCCCGCTGAGCAGGGAGCCCGATGCGGGACTCGATCCTGGGACTCCAGGATCACGACCTGAGCCTAAGGCAGTCGCCAAACCAGCTGAGCCACCCAGGCCTCCAAAACAGAGCCCATTTTTCCACAATGCAAAATTGGCTCTTTCCGAGTGGTGCTGGGGTCACCGACCTCCTAGGCATTGAGATCCATGGCAGGTTCTGGAGCAGAGGAGGATGGGATCATACCAGCCGTTTTTGAAGAACCCCTCTAGTTTTGAAGAGGCGCTGAGGATCGAAAGGGATGAGACAAGCGCCCAGGGAGGAGGGCGGTCCGGGGCCCAGGTGGGAAAGGAGCTGGTTGGATTCATTCATTCATCTTTACTGAGTACCTACTATGTGTCAGGCACTGTGCTGGGCGCTAGAGCACATAAGTGAGACCTACTAGCACAGTCCTTAGGCAGGCACATCACTAGGCAGTTACAACATGGGGTAGTTGGGGTGGTGATGGAAGGGCACATAGGGTTCTGAGTGGGCCTAGATGGAAGGCTTCCTGGAAGAGGAGCCATCTAAGCTGAACAACAAATAGGAAAAGATGTAGGGGACAAGGGAATTGCAGGGGAGCGATTAGGGAGTTTTCGTCTGCTTTGGGTGCCATTACAGAATACTACAGGCTGGGGGCCTTAAACAACTGAAATTTTCTCCTCACAGTTCTGGAGGCTGGAAAGTCCAACTGACAGATTCAGTTCCTGGTGACAGATTCTCTTCCTGGCTTGCAGATTGTCATCTTCTTGCTGTGTGCTCACATGGCCAGAGAGCAAACTCTCTGGTGTCTCTTCTTACAAGGGCACTAATTCTATGAGGGCCCCACCCTCATGAGCTTATCCCAAAGGCACCATCTCCAAATACATCACACTGGGGATGGGGGCTAGGGGTTCAACATAAGAATTTTGAGGGGACACATTCAGTCCATAACAAGGGGGTCTTGAAGCAGTGGTGAGGAGCTTGGCGTTTATCCTCACGGTGATGGGGAGCCCCGGGAAGTCAGGGGCAGGGAGGAGGAGAATCGCTGGTCCCCTCAGTACCATAACTGCCCTGTCTTGCCTTCTGCCAGTGAGCTTGCCGCTCTCCAGGAGCAGCTGCTGACCTCCGAGGCCACTGTCCGCAGCCTGCAGGCTGCTGTGCGTCAGAGGGATGAGCTCATTGGGCAGCTGCAGCCCCGGGCGGAGCTGCTGCAGGACATCTGCCGTCGCCGGCCACCCCTGGCCGGGCTGCTGGCTGCCCTGGCGGAGGCTGAACGCCTGGGGCCCCTGCCAACCAGAGACCCCAGCCACCCACTCCCTGGTGGGCCCAGTCCACGCCTTGCCAACAGTACTGGGGAAGAGGAGGACAGGGACCACCTCCAGCCTGCAGTGTTTGGGACCACTGTGTGAGCCCTGGAGCACAGATATCACAATGGAGACAGAGTTCACTGCTGTGGCTGTCCTCAGGGGTCACCAGTGTCCCAGAGGGGACCCCGTGGCAGAGCCATAATCCTTTCCAAGCATCAAACCTGCTAAAAAGTCATAGGTTTCAAACAGGCAGCCCAAGGCCCAAAGGCGTATGGTTAGCCCGGACAGGTTTTTTTTTTTTTTTTAAGATTTTATTTTTAAGTAATCTCTACACCCAATGTAGGGCTTGAACTTACAATCCTGAGATCAAGAGTCGCATGTTCTACCAACGGAGCCAGCCAGGCGCCCCTTGTTTTGTTTTGTTTTGTTTTTCTTTAAACAAAACTTTACATCAATCAACTTGTTGAAAAATTGGCAACGTTTCACAAAAATCTGGATTTCTGGCTTCAGTCTTGGCCATGCCTGCTTGGATCTGAGCTCAGGATACCCTCTTTAGCCAAAGTGTGAGGTCCAGTTGGCTCCCTCATCTCTCGTAGGGCTGGATGTCTGGCCCCTGAAGTATCTGAGTTTGAGATCTCTCTCGCTCATGGAGGCAGATGTATCAAGTTTTTCTCCCCCTTTTTCCCCTGCCCTGATTTTCGTTCCTTCTGAAGCATCCCTCATCCTAGGCTAAAGCTTTTTCTTATTCTTCATCCCAGACCAGAATTGGGAACTTCAAGCCTTGTGCTGTTTTGCATTGGTTGTATGAAGATGGATTTTTAATCCTAGATTCTTTCCCCTAAGTCTGTCCTTCCCTCAACGTTTAACCCAGAAGGGAGAGCGTGCGTGTGAGACATGCTGACATGCTGGTGGTCAGGCTGTGCTGCCCCGGGGAAAACTCAGGCATCCCTCAGCCTTTCCACTGGCTGTTCCCTCTGCCTAGACTGCTCTTCCCCCGGATGTCACATGCCCCGTTCCTTGTCACTCAGATCTTTGCTCAGATGTCACCTCCTCCTGGGGGGGGGGGCCCTTCCCTGCCTACCTTATTTGAAGTAACCCCGTCCCCTGCTCTTACCCATTCTGTTTTCTTCATGGGACATCCTGTCATCAGAGTGTAAGCTACCTGAGGGCAGGGCTTTTCTTCTTTATCACCAGCGCCAGGTGCACCCTGGGGCCTCGGTAGGAACAGGACGGGGTTTGTGGGCCCTGAAGGGAGCCGGGGGCCCCTAGCACATCTGATGAGGCCCCAGCCAGTTCAGCTTTTGTAGCAAGCAGCCCACTCCTTTTTATATTCCCTAGAGAATTTATTTTTAAACTCCTTATTTCTATGCTGCCATTCTTGGCCAGAGACATTCAGGGTGCTATTATTTTCTAAATCAAACCAGGGGACCCCATGCCTTTCTCTGCCCAGCCGAAGTGCCCAGCCTGGTCTCACACTAGCCCTTTTCCCACCTACTCACTCAGGGAACTGTCACACCAGGAACCACTGAGGGGCAGGGCCCATTTTGGCCTAGAAAGGTCGGGGTCCGTCCCCAGCCCTCAGGATGGTGCAGCCTGCCTGCCTGGCATCTAACAGTGACCCCTCAGTGCAGTAACAGTGGCCTCATTTTCTCGGGATAGAATAAGGGGGGCTGCTTGTACGAAGGGAAGGCAGGTTGAGGCCTGTCTGAGCTTAATAAATTGGATTATTTCCTGGCCTTGGTCCTTCCTCCTTTCTTCCGGTGTGGGGGCTGGAGAGAGGTGGCCTGGGTGGGGTCCTGCTGGGTGGGGAGACACGAGTTACAGTCACTGGCGCTTGTGTCTAATCTTTGCCACCCAGGCTTGCCCCATTTTATAGCTATGGAAAGTGAGGCTCAGGGAGGTGAAGTAAACTGGCCTCGGGGTCGGGAGGGCCTGGGCCACTTCCAGTTTCTGGAGGGGTTACTGTTGACATTCTGATTCTCTTCAAGATGAGGAGATGCCAGAACAGAGTTACAATAACTGTGGTTATATTTTACACTTTTCTATGGAAAAAACTGATTTTTGTAACCCTCATGAAAAACACAATGGAGTAGTTCTCTGCCTCCTCGAAGAGGTATGGACTGCAGCGACCCACCAGAATGTCACTGCAGTTTCTCCTAACACTGACGGTGTCTTAAGTCCAAGCTTTGAAAAGCCTCTGGTGACCTCTGGGTCTCTGCAGTGGATGGGTCCCCAAACGGGGCCCACGTTTTAGGCCCTGGGAGATCCAGCGTCATTTTCAATCCTGTCATTTGGTGTAACGCTCTTAGTCGATGTCTCGATCAGCGGCCTTCTGTGATTATGGCCTTGGTGCTTCTTGGATGGCGTCGGGCCAGGGCCACTTCTTCACTTGGTACTGCGGTCCCCTGGCTCCCCCAGCTTGTTAGGAGCAAAACCACCATGTGTTGTTTGAGAACTGAAAAACCAACCACCAAAAGACCCACATTGACAGAAATCTCACACTGGCCCCTGAATAACTACCAGGAACTGCTTTGTCTGACTTAACGCTGGAAACAGTCTTTAAGACTGCTGTGTCCTGGCTCAGCCACACTGGTCTGAACACCAGGCAAGGGGACCCGTGGAGCCCAGGGAGGGGAGGGGAGCTGCTCCAGGTCACATAGGAATTGGGTCTTAAGCCTCCTCGGCATGGCCTTGCCTCTCTCCATCTGGGACACTCTGGCCACTTAGGGCTGTGGCCCACCCCCTCCTTCTTGTGGCCAGGAAGGGGGACCACCCCCAATCCCCATCTGGGTCTGGCTCTATCCCAGACCTGGGCACTGTGAGGCTGGGAGTGAGCAGGGCAGAGGGTGGGCAGTGGTGCCAGCAAAAGCACTGGCCTGTCCCTCTTGGCCCTGCCACTCCACTCCCCGGGGCTGTGCCTATCGCTGTGAGGCACTGGCACAGTGCGGGTTACAGCTGGGGCCCCTCCCAGTCTCCTGAGCCACCATCCCTTAGCAACAGGCCTGCTAGGCAGGACACGCTGCCAACACTGGGCAGAGCGGGCAGGAGCCAGAGGGGTGGCTGTCTGGACTCCAGGATAGTTGAAGGCCAGGTAAGCAGGTAGCTGGCCAGGGCAGGCTTGTGGCACCGGACCACAGCCTGGTCAGCTGAGTTGGAGTCCTTCCTCAAACTCTCCTCCAGCCAGTTGCCCAGCCAGCCTGACCCGGCATGGATACTGCGGACGCCACTGTGGAGAAGCTCCGGGCACAGTGCCTGTCCCGAGGGGCCTTGGGCATCCAGGGCCTGGCCAGGTGAGCTATCCCCTTGAGTCTTCTTGACCCCCAGCCCCAGGGGCCACTTTTTAACTGCACCCCACGCCCCTCAGATTTTTCCGCCGCCTGGACCGGAACCGGAGCCAATCCCTGGACTCTGGGGAACTCCAGCGGGGCCTGGCTGAGCTGGGGCTGGTGCTGGACAGGGCCGAAGCGGAGGGTGTGTGCAGGCGCTGGGATCGTGATGGCAGCGGGATGCTGGACCTGGAGGAGTTCCTGAGGGCCCTGCGGGTGAGGCCCTTTGCCCTGCTGTCTGGGGGGTGCCGATGAGCTCTCCGTGGGCTTGTCGATGTCAGTGCTGACCCTGGATGCCTGGAAGCCCTGGTGCTCTGCACTAGACCCCCCCGTCACGACCTGCTCCTTTCCAGCCCCCCATGTCCCAGGCCCGGGAGGCGGTCATTGCAGCTGCGTTTGCCAAGTTGGACCGCAGCGGGGATGGTGTGGTGACCGTGGATGACCTCCGGGGGGTGTACAGTGGCCGCGCCCACCCCAAGGTGCGAAGTGGGGAGTGGACCGAGGAGGAGGTGCTCCGCCGCTTCCTGGACAACTTTGACTCCTCTGAGAAGGATGGGCAGGTGGGTGCCCACAGCCACCCCCCACCCCCTCTGCCTGGGTCTCTGGTCCCTACTTAGAGCCCGTCTGCCCCCAGGTCACGCTGGCTGAATTCCAGGACTACTACAGCGGCGTGAGCGCCTCCGTGGACACAGACGAGGAGTTTGTGGCCATGATGACCAGCGCCTGGCAGCTGTGAGCCGTGCACACTTGCTCAGCCAGCCCCACCCCCGTAGCGTAGGACCCCCACCCTGGCCCCCCCTGAGCCAGGGCCTCTCACCTGGGCTTCCAGCCAGGCAGCCCCTGAGGTGGAGGCCCTAGGACTGGCTGGATCAGGTCTCCGAGGACCTGGCTTGGCCACCAGGGGCAAGGAGGACAAAGTTTCCAAGGATGGGTCACTGGCTCAGGACCCCAGGGAGCAAGGCCCTCCCTGTCCATGCTGTGCAGACCCCCCTCCCCTCCTCCCCCCAGGAGCCACTGTTTGCAGGGAAGCAAACAGCTCTTCCGTAAAGCAAAGCTCAGCAGGGAGGCGGCCAGTCTTGGAAGGCAGCCAAGTTTGGTCACCTGCCCGGATGTGGAGTGTGGGGCAGGGGCCAGGGGCCCGCAGACAGGCCAGGTGGCTCTGGGAAGTGGAGGCTGTTCCTGGCCAGGCTGTCCGGCTTCCTGAGGCCCCTGGGGCATGCAGGAGGCCAGGGTTTTAGTTAAAAGTTTTAATGTAGTTCCCAAATACATTTCATATGACAATCTTACATAAATGTTCCAAAACACATGGGCATTATCTGGTTTTACTTGTCACTAGTTGGCTAAGGCTTAAAGCAGAGAAGTGTGACTGGATCTGCTGGGAGGGCCTTTGGCGCCTTCCCACGGCTCAGGCTGCACACAACCGACCCAAGGTGTGGGTGGCACAGCTGTGGAGACAAGGCCTTCCGCTCACCCCGAGGGCGGGGCTGGGCACTTTGCTCGGAAATCCCTCGGAGCCCTGTGCACAGGGCCCTTCTTCACAGGCCGCCCCAGGTGGGTGAAGCCCGGCTGGCTCCCGGCCATGCTCCAGGGTGGGGGTGGGCACAGCACCCACTCCTGTGTGTGCTGTGAATGTGGCAGACAGCCGGTTGCCTGGAACCAGCCCCCTGCCCCCTCCTCGAAGGTCCCACTGAGGTCCCCCTCTGCCTCTCACAGGGGCCCCTGGTCCTGGATGGTCTTGGGGCAGTGATGTCGTCAAGGGCTGGGCAAGGAATGGCCAGCAGCAGGAAGGTCTGCCTCTGGGTGCCACATGATGGGTGACCGACATGATGGGAAAAGGCAGGAGGGTGGGTGGGGACCCACCCAGGTCCAGTGACCCTTTTTTAGATAAGCTCTTTCCAGGTCTGGGGCCCAACCCCTCAATACCCCACGACTGGGCCTGGAGCAACCCTGGGTGGGGAACAAAGTGGGGGGGGGCTGACTCCCACCCCAGCACAGAGGCCAGGAGCCCAGGGAGGAGGAGGATGTGGCCCAGGACAGAGCTGCACCCACTCAATGCACAGCAGAGTCTGAACCTAAGAAACCAAACACAAAGCCTTGGGGGAAAAAGATCTAAAAATATAAGCCCCAAATCAGAGTGTGGGAAACTGGAAATACGGTAGTTAACAGAGCATCCAGCAGGCCCAGTGTTTATACTTGTGTGGACAGACCCGGTGGCCTGGACGGGCAGCGGCAGAGAGGCCGGGGACATGAGGAGGGAGGGGTGAAGAAACAAGTGTCCCAGTCCCAGTGAGAAGCCGTGACAAGTCTTAATGTGCCATTTCAATTCAAAGGAGGGGAGGGAAGAAATGTTCTTTTTCGTTTTGCTCATCAATATGATGAGGTCTCGTGTCCCAAACCACATTCAGGCAGTTCCCGAGTCTGCTTCTGAACGGGACATGCGGATCCGAACTGTGGCCAACCCAGCGGGGAGTGTGGTTCCCAAGCCCCGCGCCTCCACACTGCTGGCGGGGTGGGGCGGGCGGGCGGGCAGACAGACGGACAAAGCAGCAGGCTCGTGGGCAGCCGGCTCCCGGCGCTATGTGCTTCCGGCCGTCTGCCCCTCCCCTTCCTCGCCAGCACCTGTTGGGAAGCAGCGGCCTCACCGTCAGGTCCCCACCCTGGCTGGAGCCCCAGCCCCTTGGGTCAGGCTCCCCATCCCCTCCAGGGCTGGGACCACTGGCTCACCGCTTCCGGTGGCCCCCGATGGAGCCAGGACGTCCTCGTCACTGTCGTCCTCGTTGGACGGGGCTGCCCCAGGTTCAGGGGCAGGCATCTTGGCTTCCTGCTCCTGCTCCACACGGCTGCGCAGGGCCAGGATGCGGTGGTGCAGGGCTGCATACAGCTGGCCCGTGTCCTTGGAACTGGCCTGGGGCAGGCAGAGGGAAGTGGTGGGTTGGAAGATCTCTTGGTCAGGGTGGCTGCTGCCCTCCTGTGGTGGAAGCCATAAGCCCCGGGCTGTGTCTGGGCCAGAGCCCGACCCTCTCTCCTCAACAAGCTCAGGGACAGCAGACTGAAGCTCCTGGGGCCCCAGGGACCGTCCTTCCCAGCGGCTTGCAGAGCTTGCAGCTGGGACGGCACTCGGTGATGCAGGCCCACTCCTGTCTCTCTGCCACCGATCCATCTGGACACTGGCCGGCCTAGAGGCCTCCCTCTTCGCTCCCTGGCCCACACCCTCAGAGTGTCGACCGCTGCACCACAGAGCACCCCCCAGAGGGGCAGGACTTAGTGCAGGCCCGCAGTGGCCCGACTGGGTGTGCCCGGGGAACCTCCCTCCTGTGGGAGCTCAGGAGGGCACGGCCCTTGTCCAGGGGTCTGTTCGGGCACTTCCTCTCCCCAAGAGGTCGGTAGTAGCCTGTCCCGGCCCCAGGGCTACTCACTGAGATCAGGAAAACCTTCACGCCCTGGTCCTCAGTGTCCATGGCTGTGATGCGTATGCTCTTTTCACTGGCCTTGTCAATCTGCATCTGGGCCCAGAGCTTGGTATTGAGGATCAGTCGCAAGCTGCCCTGGGTCCGCATCACTGCAACCGACAAGGCCACTCAGCCCTGGCCCCTGACCCCCACCCCACAGCCAGCTATGAGAACAGACACAGTCTGGAATGAAAACACCACAAGGGCGAAATCCACAATTCTCTCAAGGTCCATGTGAGCTGCCCACCAGTCTGCTGAGCCACAGCAACCCCCACATTGGGGGCCAGCCCTGTACCACCCAGCTCCCCCATGGCCACGTCTATCACGGGGAGATGCCAGGATGGTGGCTCCCTCAGAAGGGGGATGATTAGGTGGGAGGCAGGGCCAGAGAGTGCCATTTGGGGGCCGTGTGCACTTTCTTCATGACACACTGTCTAGAAGTTGATGGCCCCTGATTGGCCCCACTCACAGGCCGAGCCCCAGCCCCTACTCTGCAGTTTTCTTAGAAAAAAGGTTGAGGCCCAATGGCTGCTTGGAGCTCCCAAGAGGGAGACAAGGACAGACTGAGAGCAACATATGGTGGAGAAAAAGAGGGTACAGACCTCCTTCCTTCTCTGGAAGTACACATCACATCTACCCAAGGCCGCGGTCAGCCTGCCTGGTTTATCAGAGCTCATCCTCCCCGCAAGTGCCCTGACCTTGTGGACATGGTGACACCTTGTCTTCCCGCCAGCCCACTTCTCCCCACCCCAACCTGGGCCCCCAGATGGCGCCAGACGGAGCAGCATGGGCCAGCTCAGGGAGGCTGCGGGGTGGGGTCCTGGGCTCCAACTGACCAGATCTCCCTGTGGCCACTCCCCGAGCCCTCTGTGCCCAATGGGCCGCCCACCTCTGAAGCACACATGGAGTAGCTGGGACAGGCCGGGGGAAGGTCTGTGGCAAGGACCACAGGCTGTATAGGGCCGTCTGATTTTTTATTTTCCCTTTCCACCATAAAACCACCAGCATTTTATTAGAAAACAAGTCCAAGAGCTGCTGAGTTGTTTCATCTACTGTCACACTCACAAAGAGGAGAGTCACAGAAGAGCTGGCAGCGAGAGCCTTGGGATGGGGCCTGCGCCTACAGGCCGCCGGTGCTAGGGCTCTCCAGTGGGGACCCGCGTGGGGATCCTGCCCTCCTGGGCCTTGGGAACTCTGTGCCATCACGGGCCCTCTCCAGAGGCACCGCACTGCAGCTCACCTAGTCGAGACTGGAGCGTCCCGTCGTCAGTCGATGCCATGTCGTTGAGCCTGAGCAGCCCCCGGCCTCTCTCCACCCATGACTGTGAGGCCTTGTCAAAGACAAACAGCTTACACTGGATCTGGAACACAAGGCGGCCCTCTGGGTGAGCGGGGCCCTGGCTGGGTGGACACTGGTGTGGACAAACTCCAGGGAGCCTCGATCTAGCCTGAGTGAACTACCAGGTAGGGGTCAGCCAACGATGGCCCAGGGGGCACATCTAGCCCTTGGCCAGTTTTGTGTCCTGTCCTCCACCTCCATTTTACATTGTCAGAGGAGCACGAAAGAATCAGGAAGGAAACGAAGATAAACACCAGATACCCACGAGATACCACCCTGCACTCGCTAGGATGGCATCACAAGCCAGGTAACAGCAGGTGCCGGTGGGGGGGGAGGCAGTTGGTGGACAGTCAGCAGCTCACACGCGGCTGGCGGGAACGACACACGGCGTGGCTGCCGCGGAAACATGTCCCTCACAGTGTTATATGTAGAATCGCCGTGTGGCCCAGACACCCCACTCCTAAAGACCTACCCAAGAGAAATGACACGCATCTGCACACGCGAGCCTGTACACAATGTCCACGGTAGCACGATTCATACTAGCTAAAAGCTGGAAACCTGAATGTCCCTCCACGCACGTCACTTGGCGCTGCCCCGGGGACGGACCCCAAGCCCATGAAGCTCAGGAAGGGAATGAGACACAGAAGGACACAGGGGGTGTGAGTCCACATGGGGGCAAGTCCAGAACAGGCTCATCCACGACAGGAAGGGGGCTCGCGGGGGCCGGGGAGGGCATGAGAGGTGACTGCCGATGGGCAGTTTCTTTTTTGGGGACTAAAATGTTCTGTTCTGATAGTGATGGCAGCAGCATAACTACGTGAACCCACTAAAAACCACTGAATTGTACACTTTAAAGAGTGAATTCCATAGTGTATGTGTTCTATCTCAGTAAAGCTGTTCTATAGATAAAAAAAGAATACGCAGCAGAGACCACGCCTGGCCCTTCAGAGTGTGCAGATCTTTACCGAG